AAAAAAAAAGGGGGGGGGGGTGGAGGATAATTCACCATCCCACCGCTTCCACTCCAGAACTACTGTATATATATATAATATAATAGTTATATTAGAGGAAAACTGCGATTACTGCACTCTGCGATGTAAGATTCGGAATTACCTTTTCTCGCAATAGTGTTGTTATCCGGTAAAATCGGTACTCGTCGGAGATTTCGAAATGGTCCAAACTCGTGTAACGAGTTGAGTAATAAATATACAAGAGATAGAGAGATAGAGAGATAGAGAGAGATAGAGAGAGAAAGAGAGATAAAAGGGATAAAAGGGGCAAGCCGAGCTTCTCAATAAAATATATATATATATATATGTACAACGTTCCGAGAATGTATCAGACTTGGGCATTGTCCAAATGATATATTATCTCAAAAATGATGAACCAAATAATATATTATTTTATCTGGCTGGAGATGTTGTTTGAATTAATTGTGCGTTAGTTTATTTGAAAATAATTTTTCTCTGTTATACATAGACATTAACACGATGCCTTTTTCATTTGAACTTGTCACTTTATTTATTCATTTTGCTTCTGGATTATTTCAATAATTTTGAAATTGTTTTCTCGGGTGCTACAGGTGCTACAATTATTAATTGAAATTAATTAACACTTGAAGAAAACATGAGAGTAAATAATTGCTTCAAATGTAACACTGCATGGAAAATAATCACTGTAAATGCTTCTATTTTTAAAAAATTATTCCAAGTTTATTCCGAAAAATGTATAATTGAAATATTCAGTGAATATGCTTGTAAAATTAAGCAGACACTTCAAATAATATTTCAATAAATATGAAAATAATTATTTCAAATTAATCAACGTAACACTGTATGGGGAAATTGAGTATTATTCTTTGTTTGACCCAGCACTGATAACGTCACAGATACGAATTTTAAATTATTCGTCATTTTATTTGAATAAACAAATGAATTTTATTTAACTTTCACACTACATTACTATATTACTTCTGAAATAACAATAATAGATTAGTTGAAATAATTCGTTACTCCAAACTGTTGTTTCTCGTTTTATTTCAAATAGAACGTGCCCAAGCCTGGACTGTATCTGGGCCTCTCGAAATACTTTTTATAATGACAAGCGACATAATCGATGATGGCGGATCTTTGCGAAGCAATGATTCAAAAGTACCTTCCTGAATCATAAGGATCTTCCAACGTCCACGTGTATAGTAAACGTTCGAAACCGAGTAAAATCGAAATATTGAGAGAATATTTCTATGTGTCGTGCAGAGAACAACATTCCTCAGACAGTAAGTAGAGGCAAACAGGAGAGACAGAGAGAAAGAGAAAGACAGAGATAGATAGGTAGAAAGAAATATATATATATATATATA